ATCTTTAAATCAGACTACAGCATTGTGGCTAATAAAGGAACTGAATCTTCTTCTAACATTCCACCTGGCTGAAAAGTGCTTTGGGGTTCAAAGGTGAAAAATTAGCACCTCTCTGCAATTTAAATTAAACCCATCTTTTCCCAAGATTACACAGAAGTTGCAAAAGGCAGCTGTGGCATTCCAGGGAAGAAAACCCTACTTCAAAGCAATGCAGACAAACGGACTGCTTTGTGTCCCTGAAGCATCTTTTTCACATGTTTTCAGTCAACTCAGATATAGATTGCATGTCTCGTTATAATGAAATTGTTTTCTCATTAAAAAAAAATAAGAAAGCACAAATGTTTTCTCATAAGGTGAACAGGACTAACTAGTTATTGAACAGTTCTTTAGAAATTCACCATGTTGAGTATACAATAAGAAGTTGAAGTATAAAGTGATAAATGGGACAGCAAAAGTATAAATATTAATGATAGTGGCCAATGCTGACCAGAAAGCAACTGAATGAAATTTTAATAAATGAGGCACATTGCTGACTGGCATCAGTAATGCTTAGTTGATTTTTTCCAACTCAAAAACTATGCCAAGGGTTGAAGAGGCATAGATAACAGAGGCAATGTCAGACTACTGTACTGTGGCACTGTTCTTATTGATTATACTTATTATGAATTAATAAAGTGACTGAATATTTTTGAACAGGATAGGAATGATTTTCTAAAGAAACAAAAATATTTTTTTAAAAATAAGTGAAGAAATAAGTAAATTACTAAATATGATTATCCATAGATATGAGAACTACAGATTAATGATTCTGATGAAATCTTATCACTCTAGTTCACTTATACTAGAGACTGCATGATTCTTATGGACTTCATAAGCAGATTCCACAATGTTGTTATAGAAACACTTTTCTTTTCTAGAAATGGCAAATTTAACAATAAAGAGATGTCTTGGGAAAACACTGAATGTGACATATGACCTTGGTTTTCTCTTTTTTAAAAAAATACCATTTTACTAAATTTCAAATACAAGAATAAAAATACACATTAGAAACAAAGTTGAAAAGAAAGAAATGTCAGACAGAAATCAAAATTAAAGTGCAATAAGAAAAAGTAAAGAAAAAAAGAAAAAGAATAATTTCCAACTTTCTTTGATACAGATACATATAAGATACATCCAATTCTTACCATAAGTTTAATAATTATATCTCTTCTATAATCCCATTTAATTCCAATAACCTTGTTTTTCTTAATACAATACCTTTCTCTCTGGAATAGTTGCCCCATCTACAGAAACTAGTTGCATAGTTATTTCTAGAACTTGTAGAAAGTTTTCATTTTGATAAACATTATTTAACACCACATCCCATTTCTTTCCTGTTAGTATTGCCTCAAGGTTTGCACCAGCCTTTACATGTCAAGAAAGGCCACTGGTGGCCACTCATGGCCACTGGCAAGGTAGTATGGCAATTGTAAATTAATGCACATGGAGGTTCCCTACAGTTGTTGTATTGGCCATTGCTGTGTGCATGTTAATATGAAAAGCCAAGGATGACTCTCTTGTGCATTTCAGACCCAGGACAGTGAGCTATTTGGTAATGCAAACCACATGCCACTGGAATCCCTTAGTCGTGCAATGGGAGTGATCCATGCATTCCATTCAGATCCCCTAATCCTAAAGAATACAACGAATAGCTCATGGCTTTACTCATGGCATCCATCCCTTTCTTGACTTCCATACATCAAATGGAAGCCATGCATTCTGAAGGAAATGACCCTAAATATGCATAGTTGGCTTACATGTTTCTTGATCTCCTTGTTTATATACATATATCCAAGGAGACTTATTCTAAATTCTCCTCTCCAGCAACCTATAAATCTAAAGAAGTCTTGATGCATCGGGAATGGATGAAAAGGGCTAGCATTGCGGTGATCTTCACTATATGATCTGGGTACACTGAGATTTTATTTTCGCAACTGAATGAAGTCATCAGTTTTCCATTTAACATTCCCTGGAGACCATGACCAGACAGAATTTACCATAATCTTTCTTGAGAACTTGTATAAGTTGATGCTGCTTTATAACTTCCCATTTCACAGTCAAATCTCAGCATCAAAAGCACTTGTGCAGGTTGTTCTCTACTTATGACCACAGCTGAATCCAAAATTTTCATTGCTAAGCAAGACAGTTGTTGAGTTTGGACTCATTTTACATTTCTGACACAGTTGTTTAGTGAATCAGCGCAATTGTTAAATTAGTAACACAGTTGTTAAATGAATCTGGCTTCCTCACTGACTTTGCTTGTTAGGTGATCACATGACCCCAGGGCACTGCAACAGCCATAAATACCTGCCAGTTGCCAAGCATCCAAATTCTGACCACATGACCATTGGGATTCTGTAACGGTTATAAGTGTGAAAACTAGTCATAAGTCACTTTTTTCAGTGCTGTCATAGCTTCAAATAGTCACTAAACGAATGGTTGTAATTCGAGGACTTCCTGCAGTCTTGAGCATACTGTGTAGCCTCTGAATGAGGATGTGTGAAAAATCAGCAGAGTTAATTTTCAAGCTAACTAACACAATTGCACAAGGAGGTCACAAACATACTATTTAAATATTTTAAAAAAAATAAAATAAAAGCAACAATTATACCTTATAGATTTAAACTGCATTAGTAATCCTCAAAGAAGAATTGAGCATAATTTAAAGCACTTCACTTTAAATATCATCTTTTTCCTCGATGCCAACTAAGTAGGCACAAGACTGAAGCTTGTAACACAATTGATCTTACTCAGATGTAGATCTGTAAAACATAACAACTTGTTTGGGGGGGGAGACAAGGAACACTTAGTTCTCTTAAAGACCAATTACTATCAGGAAGGGACACAGTGGCTCAGTGATGAGACACTGAGCTTGTCGGTCAGAAAGGTCGGCAGTTCGAATCCCTAGCGCCGTGTAATGGAGTGAGCTCCCGTTACTTGTCCCAGCTTCTGCCAACCTAGCAGTTTGAAAGCATGTAAAAACTCAAGTAGAAAAATAGGGATCATTTTGCTGGGAAGGTAACAGCGTTCCGTGCGCCTTTGGTGTTTAGTCATGCCGGCCACATGACCACGGAGACATCTTCGGACAGCACTGGCTCTTTGGCTTTGTAACAGAGATGAGCACCGCCCCCTAGAGCCGGAAACGACTACCACATATGTGTGAGGGGAACCTTTACCGCTCGGAAGAAAAAACCTCTGGTCCCAGTGACCAACACAGATTGGATCCTGTAACATTATTCTGGGACACATATTTTCACCTTCATTCAATGGAAGTGAAATTGCTGGTAAATGCAATGATCAACATTTCTCTCAAAAGTGCATTTTTTTCTTCAAAAGGCAACTGGTCTATTTTTTCCTTGAGGAAAAAGAAGAAAACATTTTGTTTCTCAAGAATTTCATCAGTTTTGATGAGGGAGGAAAGGGGGGGGGATGGAAAGACTCACAGACATCAAGATTTATCCTTTTCCACTAGTCACTAGTTTTTTCTGTTACCCCATTCTCTCACTTTCCCTCTGCATTGAAGAGGTTGTCAGAAAGGGCCAGAAGGATGGGAATTAGGTTATCCATTGCATGATGTTGCCCAGTTGTTGAGATCTGCAGACTGTTTCTTTAAGTTCATCATGCACATCCATCATTTCACGGGTGGAGTTTGTGCCTGACAGCATCAACCAGACTGAGCAAAATTATTCCTCATGGGTCAAATAATGCTTAGTTGTAGAACCCAACTGTTCGTGGGTAAAAAATTCCACTGAGCTTAAAAGAAGCACAAAGCCAAAAAGGAAATAATTCCATTAGTCAGTACAGTAACCAATGTTGTGTAAAGAAATGATTATTTTCTTATTAAACTGGATGTGCATCACAAATTTTAAAAAGGCCGTGTGCCAGGAAAACCATCTATTCAGTAAAATGAGAGTCCTGGGTGCTCTCTGGTTCTTGCAGACTTTTCATTACCCAAACTAGGCAACATCATATGGAATATAGTTTTTAAATAAGGTAAGTTTACACAGCAGCCTGCAGCACCGTGTAATGGTTGACAACAGGTACAGAAACCAGTGTGCAACCAAGAGAGCAACACAGTAGACATGGCCCTATCAGAAATCAAACTGACAATCATGAATTTATTTTTTTATTTCTTTTTCACATTTCTGAACTGCTCAAAGAGAATAGCTTTCCCCCAACAAATTGCTATCAACAAATAATTTTCATGTCCTTTCCATTCTGTTTACCTTCCTGTAATAATCAAGCCAGCACCAGGTTTGATACTGCCAGCAGGTATTGGAGGATAATGATGGGGTACCATTAACAGTGCCACCCCCCTTCATTTGACTTGCATAAGGAAAGTTAAGACTTTTTAAATAGCTCTGCCCTCAGCCACATATTCAGCCAGCACCTGATAGGATACTTGGTGCATAATAATACAGGTATGCAGAGTTTCCCTACCTGAAGGGGAATTCGAGGCTGAACCTAGATTTCTCTTAAATGCAAAAAAAAAAAAAAACACCTTTCAGGTGGTTGTCAACGCACCTTTAGAAAAGGGGAGAGCCGGGTCTACAAAGCGGGTTTATAATTCTTCATCGCAACTTCACAGCGCCGCAAAGCTTTCCCCGTAACCGTTTAACACGTGATTAGAGTTGAGCATGGGCCAGTTTCCCAGTTTTGCCTAAAACACCCTAAAATTCTCAAGTTCTTTTAACCTCTTAGTCTGAAACATCCTCCTCCGGTTAGTGAAAGGAAAGGGGCGCGTGAGGGGGGAGGCGACTGCATGTGTGAACGAGCCAGTCTCCTTCGCGAATACACTTAAACGCGTAGTAAGGCCACAAAGCTGCCCTACGAAGGGTGCGAGAGGCAGGGGCAAGTCTTCAGCTAGGGGAAGAAGACGACAACAGCCCTTTGAAGGCTACGTCGGCATCCCGCCCTCGCCAGTCCGGCGGACTTTCCTGCCCCGCAGCTGCGTTTTTCCGCGAGGCTGCGCAGGGTGACAAATTGAGGGCGAGTAGTCAAAGCGGTTTGCTCCTCCGCCCTTACTCCCCGGCGGTTAAGAGGCGGAGCTATAATAGTGGGTTTTTTTTGTGTGTGGGGGTGTTTTTTTTAATTTCTTCCCTGAGACCGGCAGCCAATTTCTAGCAGCGCCTTCAGTCTTCGCGCGCAAGCTGTTGGTTCTCGCCCCCCCCCCCCACTCCCGCAACTCTTCTTCTCTCTCTGCTGCTCCCAGCGCAGAATTGCCATGGCTGTCTGGAGCGGGTCCGGTTCCGTCCCGGCAACCTTGGTCAGGCCCAGCTTGACCTCCGTCTCTTCGGGAGAGCTTCAGAACCTTCGGACGTGCAACTGCGAGATGGCGGTGTTACCGCTGCGGCAGTTGCTCTCCCTACAGCCAGACTCCTTCCTGCTGCAAGGGGACACTCTGGCGGTGCTGAGTCCGCTCGACCGCCGGCCCGGGGGTGGCTTCACGGTGATAAGCGATGGGTTTTTCCAGCTGGATGGCCGGCAGCAGTGCAGGCTCACCGGCTACTTCAAGAGGTAAGCAGACGCTTTTCTGATTTTCTGTCCCCCTCCTCTTGATGCCTTCTTAAGACACCTAGTGCGGGGGGACAGAAATCTCATCCTATAGGTCGCCGGAAAAGTGGGCTCTAGCACTTACGATTTTTATTTATTTATTTATTTTGGAAACAAAATCTACCTGCTGCTTTGCTACCTGCCGGGTGTTTGGCTAACGTTATTAGAATTAAAAGGGAATTCCACAAAACGGCTCCTTATTTGTGGGCCTACACCACAACGACTAATCACGATCTAAAAACTGAATTAGTATTTTGGTATCTCTCCTTTGCAGGTTATTAAATGCTAGAGCGGGTGAGTAGGTTACTATTGCTTGACTTGGAAAGATGGAGAGGGATTTTATTAGGGAAAGTAGGCTTGGAGGAGAGAAGCTAATGTAGCTTGTTTTCTTCTCAAAAATAACTGCTCTGCATTAAGTTTAATAGCAAAAGAACACCTTCTAATCGTAGTCCTAAACTAGAAGCCAGATTGAATAGATGTATAGGATCTAGTGAGAAATCAGACAGATATACAGTATTGCAAAAAGCAATAACCATTTTCTGATTAATAAACATTGTTCATAGAATTGGGGGGTAAGCTTGCCATTTGATGCTCATTAAATGTAGGACACCTCACATTCTGCAGTTTATTTTAAAAACTAAAAGCAATCCAGATCCAGTAGTAAGTTGGAGCATTCTGAGGGACCTTCAGCCAGCCTTCTCTGACAGAGTACTTACTTACCGTGACTTGTATCAGGCTTGCATTTCACTATGTGGTTGCTTGCTTAAAAGACCTGACAGCAAAAGAACAAGGACCCGGTAGACAGAAGAAATATTTAATATATCAGCTCTAAATATAGCAATAATCTATTACAATACAGTAATTATTGTATTTGTATTTCCAGTTGGATCAATCAAGACTGCCCCTGAGATAGAAACAGATTAATTTTCCAAAGAAGGACCTTTGTGAGTGCTTAAAGACTATTAGTCCCACCTGAACTAGTTCTTAGTCTTATCTGTGTTATGCATACCACTCCTTCACAACTTAGTAGAATGATTGCTCCGGGGCCTGCTTTGAAGGGAAAAATCAAAGAGTAGAGCTAACTGAACAGAAGGAGACCTTGATAGAAAGGTCTTGTCTCATCTAGATAATGCAGCCTAGAGGCACGGCTACCAACAGAAGACACAGAGTTTGGTGGATTGGGTGGGACAGACATTGGATGAGTGAGTAGATGGAAATTCCAGTTGCTGAGAGAGAAAAATGCAATACCATAGATTATCAGAGACTGTGCTATATACCACCAGGTTGTTGGTTAATGTTTGCTCAATGTGGTTCTCCAAGGTTAGTTAGATTTTAATAGAAATGTTGTGGATTCTGTTTGTTAGTATGAAATGAACTACAAATTAAAATATGCCTTTATTAATAAACTTACCTCCCCTCTCAACAGAATGTGTAGTCACCAAAACAATGAGGCTTTATTATTATTGTATAGCTTCCTCTGACATTCTAAAAATTTCTGCCTAAGGGTTTGTATGTAAAACAAGGAGCTTATGGCTTCTTTGTTAATTAATCCTGATGTGTTTGACAGAATTGTGTAACAGGTTATTCTTGCATACTTTTGTTTTCTTTGTTGTCTGATAAGGCTCACAATATAAAAACTTGGCCTTTCAAAGTAAACAGATGTGACTTTTCCTCTGCTTTATGAAGGTATCTCTGCAAAGTACATTATTATGGCGTGTATCTTATCTTTGAAAACTTGCTGAAGCAGAGGAAGAAGCGTTTGAAGAGTACCTTTTTTATTAAAGCAAATGAGTCATTGGTTCTCGTCCAACAGTACCAAGCGGTGACACCCTTCAGCTTATTCTAGGCATGATACCTACCAGTTAGCTGTAAGAGTTTTTTCTTCACAAGGCAATGTAATTTAATACTGTTATTACCAATTCAAAACCAACAAGACATTAATGTTTAAAATTCTAAATGCATATATTAAAAATTATGTGAAAACCAGTCAGAATTGTGAAGGAGACACTTATTTTCTATAAGTTAAACCAGAAATTTCACCACTGCTAAGAGTGCCACTGAATAGGACATTTGAATAGGACATAGTAGTAGTAGTCGCTTGAATAGGACATGAGATAGGGATTCAATCTCTATTTCAGGGGTGTCAAACTCCCAGCCCGTGGGCTGGATGCGTCATGCACTGGGCACAACCATGCCCAGTTTAGCAAATATATCACATAACACTACTGTGATGACGTGAGTTTGACACCCCTGCTCTTATCTGAACAAAATCATAGAAATGTGATTTTCTAATAAGAAGCTGAATAAGAGTTTGGCTCTATAGAGAGAGAAAAAGCATTAGATGTGTCTGAAATGTTGCCTAAAGAATTTGTATTGCAAAATGATTGAAGGTTTTCGTCTTTTGGAAGTAAGAAAGACAAAAAAGCTTTTACAGAAGCTCTAAAATTAATTTGGTATTTGTTTTTTGATCGAGGACAATTTACTTTTTTGTGATTTTATGTACATACACTATGTAAGTTGCAATCTTGTGTGACATCACACACATGTTGTCATTTGCTTCCATGCAGAGACCCATGAGATGAAGTCATTATGAACAAGGGCCTGTTATGGGAGCGCTTTGTTGGGATCTAACATTGTAGGCAGGCGTAGGTATTCCAGAAGTTTAAAAAGGTACAATAAGTTGGCCTGATCATAATAATAAATAGAGATGCAGTTTATGTAGGGAGAAGCAAACTAGGTAACAGGATATAGGCATCTGCTTAAATAAAAGCAAACAGGGAAGGAAGGGCAGTTATAAACAAAACAATGATTAAAAACATTTCTTAGCTTTTGTCACTAATGGCTTTTCTTAGTTCTGAGAAATTGGAGCTTGCAAATGGTGATCTCAATTTTCCATTACTTTTTCCTTTTAGAAAGCTGTACCATCTTAACTTGTTCCTCACATTTTATGAACTGCAAATGAATGGATAACCAGCATGTCTGGGTTAGCTGACTCATGGATGCCTGTTATTGCTTCTAGCTCCTTTCCAACTTCTTAGATCCAGCTGGCAGTATTTTATTCCATCAAACCCATTAGCCCTTGTATGAAACATTCAGTTTTGCTGCAATATGCTTATAAAATAACTAGTTCTATTTCTAAACAATAAAATTTTCCATAACTGAACTGTTTCTGGAGAGGAGAAAATATATACTTAGTGTTGCCAGCCATTACAAGTAAAAAGGTTACTCAATCTAGATTAACACATATTGTAGTATGCAATTAATAAATAACTGTCCATTGGGTTGTTTGAGCAAACAAAACTACTTGGCTAGTCCGCAGAAATATCCACAATTGCTCCCTAAGTAAGATCAGGATCTCTTGGTTAAAATATACCTAGTTAACTAGGAAGTTTTTGAAGTTGTGAGCTATTCACATTTAATTTTTCTGCTTCTTTGGCCTAGACATGGCATGCTGCACTGATTATTTGAATCTGTGTAAACTGAAAATTAAGCAGAGTTAAGGAATGCTGATTTTTCTGCGTTATCTTGACTACAGCTTTTAGAAGTATCCATGGATCTGAGCCTTAGTTTATATGAAAAGTAATTGCATATTAAAGTTGAACCAGAAGTTTTTAATTTTAAGTTTTTAATTTTTGTCTGGATGTCTTATGCAGGAATAAAGTTTTTCTTTTAAAGATGAAGTATATTTCATTCATCCAGTTCACAAACAAATATTATTCAACCAAATAGGTTAGCTTAATAACTGTACTGCTTAGTTATGTAGATGCTCAGAAAGTTAAACAACTGAAGGGATCATTAAGTGGACTGAGCAAAACAGCTGTCTGCCAAAGAAGTCAGCTCCCCTCCATGCATAGAAGGGAATACCTACACTGGGCTAGAGAAATGAGCCTCAGATCTTCAGGTTGCAAGCTTCATTTCTAGCCCAGTGCAAGAGTTATTGTTCTCTCTTTGAATGGAAGGGAACTCCTATGGTGGGCTGCAGACATTCAGCTTTAATTCCAAATGTGAGCTTGATTTCTGCCACCACCACCATTTCTGCCACTATGGAGGGGTGGGGAAATCATTAATTGGCAGCAGCTGTTTGCAACCTGCCCTGCCGGCTTCCCTATTGACTTTCTGAGGAAGCCGGCAGAGAAGATTTCAAATGGCAATCACATTAACCAAACACCCAGCTCATGATCGTGTGACTGCAGGGAATGGATGCGAAGGACATTTTATATGGGCCAGAAGTATACAACAGACCACAAAGCATCCTTTCTAAGCTGTTGTAACTTCAAACAGTCATTAAACAAGTGTTTATAAGTTGAGGACTACCTGTATCCAGAATTAGGCTAACAGCTGTTTGGAATTTTCTGCTAACATGCCTTTATCTCTGCCTCCCAACTGAAGAAGCTTGGAAATAGTGTTGCTAATAAATTTAGTATAAGGATGGAAAACCTGTGGCCCTTCAGATACTGCTGGACTTCGGCTCCCAGCATCCTTGAACATCAATCAGGCAGACAATGTAGGACTATAAAGTTGTAAGTTAACAGTATTTCCTCCCTGGTGTCATCTGAACCAGAGTTGCATGCATCCTGTCTTCAGCAAGACAGGATGATCAAATGATAAATGGTTTTCAACTGTTAAACTTTTATGCCTACATTCTCCAGATAGGTGTAAACAGAATCAGTGTACATCCTGTTTTTATATATTAAGGTATAAATTGTCCATATTGGCATTTCCAAGCCACCCTGGTTGGAGGGCAAAGAGACTGCAGTTTCCTATGGGCATGTTTCACGTTAAGTCATTAGGTTGAATTACTATATTTGCTAGGACTATTCAGTGCAAAGAGTTTCATTCAAATGTGCTTTGGAGCACATCAAAGTTCAGGCAAATCCTTAAAGCTGCTGTATCTTTTCCTAGGATCATGCAGTTGTCATAACAATCCTAGGAAAAGGGTAGTTGCTTCAAGTAGCAGGTAGGTGCTAAATTTGCATCCCAATATGTTTCAAAGCACTTCTTGGGGTGAAGTTAAAGCTTTGCATAGACCTTCTATTTGTATAATAGTGAGTCTGCATTGCTACCAGGACAGGAAGGCCTGGAGGAATGTGGATGTGGACAAGACTTCCCAACTAACAACAACTGCTACAATTTCCTCTTTTTCCAGTTATTTTTCTGGAGAAAGAGGAAGACTTATGGTCAGGACTAATGTCATCTCAGTTGTGACCAAAATGCTGCTTTTCCTAGTTGTCCTGCAATCCTCCAAAATTATCTTTTCCATTTTTGCTCCTCCTGTAATTTTAATACATTTATTAACTCATTTTCCTACATAGGATGGACCATACAATCTATCGTGGGACAGACTGTGAGATTTGAAAGAAACTAAATGAATGCTCTAATTGAGTTATTTCAATCACTTATCATGAGTTCAGACAACATTGTATTTTTAAATTCTACATTTCACCAATGGCTGAATATTTACACTTTATTTTCTTGAACAGGCATGTAGAGTTGAATAGCCATCATGATTACAAAAACTACAGAGAGACTATATTGGGTCGGCCACTGGTATTTATCATTAACGTCAGAACAAAATATAATTCTTCAAAAGGTATGTACCATGAGGCTATTGTAAAATGTACAGACTGACCGCCTTGCTTATAAAAAGATAATTGGATTCTTACTTTAAAATGGCATGATTGAATTTGGATAAAAGAGCAAGTTGTGATGTCTCTGTGAAACTAGTATGATTAGATTGCAAGGGTATGAAATATTTAATTTTATAACAAGGTAGCTCTTGCAGTAATAGAGTTACATTTAAAAATGCTAATTTGCTAAGGAGCATTTGCTTATGAAAGTGTTTTTACATACCTTGAGTTCTTGCATATGGTTAAGTAGGTTGCTTTTCTGTAAGAGATTCTTAGTAGAACAATAGCACTTTCAATTGAATCCAAGCCATTCTCTAGCCAGCTGCAAGAAAATGGAGTAGTCTGTATAACTTTCAGCAATTGAGCTTGTTATATCAACAAAGGTGCTATTCATAAGATTCACTAAAGTGAAACAGGATGATAGTCATTGCATCTTAAAAAGTCAGAGGAGAAGAATTCAATATTATCTCTAGATTAGAAATATGTAGCATAAAAGCAATGAAGTATAAAACAGACTTTAAGTAAGAATTCTCTGATGTGGCTTATTTGTTTTGAAAATTTATAATTTTGACTTTCTTAAGATTAAAATCATGTATAGTAGAAGGCAATAAAACAATTTAGCTGACCAAGATCTTTGAAACATCACTAATAGACCTGTTAATAATTAAACAGAAAAACAGGAAAAAAAATCCTAGTGGGTTTAATTTTTACTTATATTCCATATCCTTGTTTTAATAAAAATACTAGCAATATTAATTGTAAAGATATTTACAATTATAACCCTTTATAGAATAATTACAATTAAAAATTGATAATTGTAGTTTTATTAGAAAGCTCTGTTTAGTGTATTTCCAGTGCAACAGCCCCGATTTTCATCAGGATGCACCCCAAACAACAGGCAGACTGTTTAATCCTAAACAGACCAGATGCATTGTCATAAATTGAGATATATAATGTGATTTGCCTCATTTACCTTATGGCATCATTACACAAATCACAATTACCTTCATATGTATTATGTAGTTAAGAGGAATGGACATCCCCTCTCCCTAGGAATCTGTTAAAAATGGTTTCACTGTAATTCAGTATAAACTTAAAATGAAACAGAAGAAACCACTTTTTTTTTTTTTTGGAAACATTGTAAAACAAAGGCTATCCTGTTCAAATGCATAGTTGTCCAATTAAAAGATTTGGAGAACTGAAATGTCTTAAACTGACTTGGGGTCAACAAAGTTGTATAGGAGGGAATTCAAACATGCTCCCCTGTACTATATAAAATTGTTTCTAAACAACACCAAGATAAGAATATATTTTATAAGGAAGGAAGTCTGAAGATGACTGAGTTCTTCTCCATAAGAATGCCTTCTTAGGAATGTACAAGTTCAGAAAAGATATAAAACAAAAAGCTTGATTTGTAGTGAATAGAACCATCCAAGGACAAAATTGTATGATGTATAAATAAGAAAATATTTGAGATCTGCAAATGTTTATATTGTCTACATTACCAATGTCAAATCCCATTAGAAAAAACGTATGCTTTGCTTGTGAATACTCGACACCCAAAGATGAGAAGGCAAATCGAGAACAGCATGAACAATGTAATATCATCCGTGATTGGGGAAAGCTATAAGCTTCAGGTAATTTGAGCAGATTTTTTTGTTTAATGTAAGCTTACTATCTTCAAGTTGGTATTTTGGATGAGTTTTAAGGAGGAAAGGACATTGCTCTTTGGATAAATTAGAAAAGCAAAGCCTTTCCCCTGGAGGGACAGCCATAAATCCACCCAAAGACAGTTTAAAGTGAATGTAAATTCAAGTTTTCTAATGTTTTACTACATGGCAGCTCAGGCCTATTACCTAACATTTACTATAGTCCATTTGTTCCTGGAGTTGGGGCTCAACTTGCTCCAAAACCAGCTTTTAATTAAGCTGTAGGATTCTTTGGGATAGAATATGTCCACATGCATGTTGCTATATGCGTAAAATTCAATGGATGGCAAGGTTTCTGATGATCTGTATGGAGATAATGTGCTTTACTCCTCCTCCTCCCCCCCCCCCCCCCAGTTTTGTAAAATACAGGTGTTACTGTATGGTACATTCTGGTGACCATTTTAAATAATGGTAACGGACAAATTGCATGTCTACAATATTTCCAGTAACTTGCCCTTAATTCTATTGTCATCTCTACATTGCTAAGCCCGCCCAAAATTCTGGAAGACTATATAATATTTGACAGTATGTATAGAGCAGAAGGGCAGAAGCAAAACAGTCCAAGAATAAGTTCAGGCATTATAACAGCCACAAGGCCTGTTGTTTAAAATCAGATTTCAAGCTGAAAAATGTGACAAATTGCATTAGTCACCTGTTAATATTACTGGTATCAGATTTTATTTTATTCTGGAACACAAGTGTAAATGCCAATCTTCAGTTTTAAAGATATAAAGGCTAGTTGAATCTCAAATGTTTAAAGCACTGGGATTTAATATTACTATAGTCATCCATGCTAAATACCCGTTTCTTTGTTTATATACATAAATAATGGGGGGGGGTCATTTAAATTTTTGGGGAAGTGGGGTATACTATGTCATGGATAGATATGGCTGGAATTTTGCAAGTTCTTTTCTAAGTTTCAGAACAGTGGGGGGATTCAAAAAAATTTACTACCAGTTCTGTGGGCGTGGCTTGGTGGATGTGGTGTAGCTTGGTGGGCATGGCAAGGGAAGGATACTGCAAAATCTCCATTCTTCCCACCCCATTCCAGGGAAAGGATACTGCAAAATCTCCATTCCCTCCCCACCCCACTAACCTGCTTTCAAGCTCCATTCTCCTGTAGAGGACAACAAAAGAAGACCCACCCGATAATCTGGGACTCGGGAGGCAGAGAATAGATGAGGGCGGGGCCAGTCAGAGGTGGTATTTGCCGGTTCTCTGTATCCTTATGATTTATATTGACTGTTTCCTAGTATGATTTGATTGCTTATTATACCCTATGACTATTACTGAGTGTTGTACCTGATGATTCTTGACTCTTGACAAATGTATCTTTTCTTTTATGTATACTGAGAGTATTTGCACCAAGACAAATTCCTTGTGTATTCAATCACACTTGGCCAATAAAGAATTGTATTCTATCTATTCTATTCTCTGAACTACTCAAAATTTCTGCTACCGGTTCTTCAGAACTGGTCAGAATGTGCTAAATACCACCTCTGTTTCAGAAGCATAGAAGTTAAATGTAGAGTTGCAATTTTAATGCATTTCCTATTTCAAAACCATGGAGTTTGGGGAGGAAACCGTGAAATTAGTTCTCAGAAATGGTAGCTGTAAGGGGCTGCAATGAGAAGGGGAAGAATAGGCTTTAAGGGTTGCATTCATTCCTGGAGTATTAGATTAATCAATAACAATTTTTCTTTTCTCTGTACAGTTTAACTTCCAAGATGTTGTAAAGAAGTTTTTTCCTTCAGAAGCCTATCTGGTTCATGAAGAAAGTTTAAGTTTCTCCTATGAGTTCAAAACTGATGCCTTATTTGATTTCCTTTATTGGTTTGGGATCAGCAAGAGAACTGTTTCAATGAATGGGAAAGTTCTTAATTTATCAAGTACCAATCCAGAGAAGAAAGAAATTATAACTAAGTTTCTGGATAAAATGAGTGAACCAAATTTGCGTTCAAACAGCTTTTCAGACAGGAAGTTCAGCATTATCTCCAGAGGTGAGTTGGTAATACATTATCACATTTTAAATATTACATTTTTCATAGGTAGAACAGGTTTATTCTGTGATTAAGTTCAGTATACATTGCTGTAAGGCATTGTTGTTTGTTGACATAATGGACTGTGTTTCTGCAAAGTGGTAAGACAAACTGGAGCTTACAAACCACTAGGTTTACACACTTCATTTTTTATAAATGTGTTCAGTTCAGCCAGCAAACTGGAATGCCTGGAAATTACAAGTGTTTGGGGTCGTGAGTGTTTTAGTCAGGATGAGGAAGTTTAGTATTTCTTTAGACATTAATATGTATTTGTATTATCTTGCAGTTTCAATAGATGATGTGTTTAATGGCAACTTGACATCACAATCAACTTGGATGGAGTCTCTTAGCTCTTGGACAGTTTCAGGGTCTCGGAAGTCTGGAGACAGGTCAAGTATCGAAGGCTGATTTTTTTAACATTGAGAAAGATATATTGAAAACAGAAGGAAGATAACCACATTGGGATTATCTTACTGCAGAATGCAAGGAATTTCTGCCTTTTGTTACAAATAATAGGATGTATCTGCATTCTATGTTGCTTTCATTGGTTTCAGGGTAAGATTCCTGATTACTAAAGTGATATTTACAGATCTGGTTCAACATTCAACATTAAAGGCTGTTGAAGCCTAGAGTTTTTGCTATTGCAGTTATCCATATAGTTAGAATGATTTTAAATCCTGGATTATTTCATTAGTTTCTAAATAACTGCCAGGTTTTCAGAATCATGGAAAACTAAATTATTTTTGTGATTGCTCCAACATTTATCATACCCCGGCAAGTTGATAATTCCAAACAGCTTTGAATTATAAGTGGCTATGACAGATGCTACTATGAACTGTACTTGGGTTTTGTTTTGGTTTTTTTTTTTTTTTTGTAAAATGGATGGTAGTATAGAACTGGCAGAAGGAATACTCAAACCCATGTCTTTTGATCCAGAAGTCAGCTGCTATCAGAGTTTGGCTGTATTCTGGCTTGGAAAATTTTGCTGTGTGGCCTAACTTTCAATCATTGGGGATTATTTTCACAAGGGTTTTGCAGCGCTTCAGATTTAATCCAAAAAGAAAATTCAGGAAAGTCAAAAGAACATCTGTCCAGTTCTTTTAAAGCAGCTACATCTTTTCCAGGATTAAGTGGCTTCAAGCTGTCGTGCCGTCCTAAGGAAAATATAGACTGCTTAGATAGCAGCAGACAGGTGTTACATTATGCACTGCATATTTTGTTGTAATTGAATCCAAAGAGTTGTGCAGTGCATGCATTTATTTGTACCTCTCAAATATAGAATAAACATTCTTTTCAGATACTACTAGAATATGTAAACATAACACATAGAGGTGCTTTGAATCAGAGCTTAATATCTTGGAAGGTTATAGAAAATGTCAATGTGTTATGTAGTCCACAGTAAATGGGAAGCGCAAGGGCTGAATGGTTGTAATTTGAGGAGTCACTTTGGGGCTACCTTATGAATATTTTACTTTTTCTTTATGACATAACATTAAAACACTGTTTTGACAGATGAAGCATAATTTTTACATCATGAAAAATTGATCTTGTTAAATTTGAATTGCATGGTATATTTTGGGCTTATAGCAGCCTTTCTCACCAATGTCTTCTAGAGCTGCAGCTTCTAAATTTCCCACTGAATGGCCACCTGGCTGTAGGCCAGCCCAATCTGGAGAGTGCCAGCAGGTTTAAAGAATGACTGGAATGAATATGCCATAAAAGTATCTCTTTTTTTCTCAGTAGGCTTTTTCATTATCAAGTTAAATGTCGACATATTAAGGAATGTAATATTCAGTCTCTTTATATTGAAGAGACCTCATGTATAAACAATTGCCTAATCAGTTCCTTCTATATATCATTGTTTTACAATAAACAGTTATATGGATCTCTTTTTCTTTTCTCAAGTTAACTTTCCATGTTGCACAATGTCAAAACCACAGTTCCTCTATAAACATTAAGGCAGATTACACAGCAGGAATTTGAATAAGGATTGGAAGTAAGGGGGAAAAGCAGCACTAAAAAGCACTGAATATGTAAAATCTTGAGGTATAAAATAGCTGAAATTAGTCCTAAAACTAGAGGAGGCATAACTAATAAATGCTAAGAGCTATCTAATTTGAAAATGGAGAATAACATTGAGAGAAAAATTAGAATTAAAAGATTGAAGCAGAGGAAGGTTTATAAACATGATTGGAATTGCAATCCTCTATTTATGTGAAACCCAGTGAAACTTAATGGCTATTTAGGCATTGAATCTGGCTGTAAGAAAGGCCACTAAGAGAAAGATGAGAGTTCCCGTAATGTATAAATACAGGTAGCCATTTAGCAGCTGTTCAAAGTTACAATGCCTCCCCTCAACACAGGTGATTGCAGGATTCTGTGGTCACATGACTCTGATTTATTATGTTTTTGCTGGTTTCCAACCTTTTCAGGCCATGGTAATACATTGGTTTGCTTAACAACCTCTGCAAACAAAAGTAGTTAAATTGGGTCTGATCATGTGGGTGGAGCTCCATCATGGTCCTAAGTCAAGGATTTCATGTATTACAATACATTTATTCAAAAGCAAATTAATAACTGTAAACCACCATCATTATAGTGCTGTGCAAAATTCACTTGATTGGGCATAGAGTGTTCTGTAAGACTTTGGAACTTCCCACTCTTCCAGCAGATGACATCAAACCTCTCTCCAGTCACACAGTTCTGGAGGCAGTTTGGGAGTTCCCAGAAGTAAATCCTGCAAACCGGAAGCAGATCAATGACAGGTAATTCTGGACAAAACAAATGCTTTATCTAGGACACTTCAAACTGATTCCAGCTTGGAGGGTTTATTTCTGGAAATGATACACACCACCCTAGAAGAGCATGATATGGTGAGGGAATGGAATCTTCCAGATTCTCCAGAATGTTCTCATCCCAGATTGGTGCATTTTTTGTAACCCCACCTGATTGTTTTTACAAACAAAAATGGGGCAAATTCAGTAGTAAATTAAAAACCCAAATTTAAGAGAATCCCTCCAGAAATGGAAATAAGCAAGAAAAAAGTATAAACACACAAATATTGTGCAATGCATTTTCCCTAACCATAGCGAAAACCAATCCTGGATATTTCTTTCCATAACACATTTGTTGACAGAGGAGGAGAGTCTGATAGATATCAGATTAGAAAAAAAGAACTGGGTCAGAACCATAGTACCGTAATTATAGCAATAATAATGCCAGTAATATCTACATAACAAGGTATTCCATTTAAAAGCTGTCTTGTCTCTCATATGCAAATAAATAACTGCTGAAAATCACTCTCATACCCTACATAGATATGTATACATTCTCCCACCCCTCCTTCCAGCAGAAACAACAAAAAAGGACAAAATAGGATGGAGATAAGAGCAAAGAATAACTGCACTGGAAAGCAAAGGAAATAGAAAACTGGACAGACAAGAATAATTGATAAGGAAATACAGGGAAAGCAAATTAAAAGATGCTTTTAAAAGGACAAAATTCATCAAACACGAAAGTCTCTCACAAAAAACAAGAACACTTAATATCCAGACCAGTCTTCAAAATTCAAGCTTTGTACCACAAATCCATTGCCGCCTGTACCTCAGTTCTTCCTTTGTTTTGAACATCCTCTACTGTCCCCAACAATTTGCCAAATTCACAGGAGGAATTAACATTCCCCAAGCTAGCAATGGGAATCCCTTGATATTTTTAACGAATGCATTATAAAATGCAAATATGCCATACAGATAATTGTTATGCCATATTCCTGGTCACTGTTTCAGCCCAGCGACATTGTTTCAGTGGTACTCCATCCCATGTTAGTATGCTATGTTTTCTTCTAACACAAGCATATTCTGGGTATTAAATATGCTGTCTTTCTTTGGTTTTTCTATGTAATTTAAAAAAATCTTTTTATTTCAGACCATTTTGAGGTTTCTTTAAGCATACAGCTAACCCTTTATTTCTCAGTCCCTTATTGAGGCTAATAAGGTGCTTTTCTAAATTTATTATTAGGAAGAGTTCTAGTTGATGCATGTTTCCCTCCACACCACATTATATGAATTTTTCATTGAGGATTTCTAGTGACTCCTCTATTTAAAAGTGCTCTGAGTAAGAAAAATCTAGGACTGGGCAACCAGCCAACATCTGGTAATTCCCACAAGCAAAACCTTAAAAGAGTGAACTTGTATAGTAAATCTGAAAACAATTTGGCAGGATAAAAGGTTTGTATGAATGTTAATAGTTTTGAATTCAGCTCAACAGATCTTGCAATTAGACAGCTATGCTGCATATGAATAACTGAAAAAAGATTTTAATTATAATTTCATTTTCTAATAGAACTTGTGTTCTTCGTTTTTTTTTAAATCAATTTTTAGTTAAAACCTACTATAGCATAGGCCATTTTAAGGGTTCCAGACAGAGATGGCCACAAAGGATCTCCACTTACAGGCCTTGAAATAAAACAAATTCTGACTGAGTTACTCATAGTATAAATTTGGGCTGTATCATCAGACTAATTTTCAGCAGAGAATTTCTATGTGCTTCTTAGTATCTGCCACTATCATGGTAGGCCAGGTGCTTGTACACCCTCACATAGCACTATCCATACAAAAATATCTCAAAGCAGTTTACAAAAAAAGCTGCAAAATCATAATTTTAAAAAAATCAACCTATCCATGTAAAATAAAAGATGGAGATAAAAAAAATATCATCCAACATATAGGAGACTTGAATGAGACTTGAATGTTTTTAATGGTTATTTACAAATGTCAAAATTTTAAGGAGAGAAGTTTTGGAGATTCTAATTCATCCGGGTCATAGTTGTCTCAAAAAGTGTTTTTTCCAAAGGCAACTGGACATTTTTTTTTCTTGAGGAGGAAGAAATTTTGCTTCTCATCCGAGAAGTTTCATCGGTCACTCACCCCAACCCTACCATCCTGCCAGAACCAATGAAACTTCTTGGATGAGAGCTAAAATCTTCCTCAAAGAAAAAAATCCAGTTGCCTTTTAAAAGAGCACCTTTGAGATTCAGGAACTTTACAGACCCCCTCAGGTGGCCTGCCTATGACAACCACAAGGTGGCAATCTAGATTGGATGCAGACAGGAAACAGAAAAAGGAACATGCACCATTATCCTCTGCATCTTACAGTGCTTATCTTTCTCCAAAACCTTGAATGGTTCTATAAATGCTGGTCGCTGTCATAGCTAGAGAAGCTAGTGACTACACAGCTATCCTATAAAAAGGGGAGGAGCCTGCACTGCCTGCTCACTGAAAACTTTGCTTTGATATAACAGAACCCTAAAAAAAAAGTCTGCACAAATAAACAGCCCATTGTAGACACCTTTAAAGACACCTTTACTCATTTGGGACTTGTTTTTAATGGCATTCACAATTAGGAGCTTGATAGGTTGATTAAGTCAAAGTATTCCTCTCTTTGGGGCAGATGGATGGTTTAAAAATATGAAATATGCTTATGTGTAGGACACGACAGGGGAAACCTTTATTATTCCCTAATGCAACTCTGCTACTAAATTTCATATACTGTAATGTACGTGAAAGGGAATTTCAAATGATACATGTAATGATTGAAAGTGCAGAATAAACATTTGTGATCCTATATTTCATCTAATGTGAAGATTTGAAAGTATCTATTAAGCACCCCCATATTTGTATTTTCTGATGCATCTGATGAAGCTCAGGAAAGCTTATACCTTTTAATAAAATTTGTTGATTGGGAAAAAATTATCAGATTCCTGATTTTTATTTTTGTGCCACAGACCAACACTGTTTCCTACATCTTTATCTTCAATCTGTCATAAATTAAAAGCATATATATTAAATTCATTGCCATAAGGGCTTGCTTTTGTAAGTTCAAGCTAGTCATGGCTGTTTCACTACTTCCCCAAAACTTTTAATCAGAAACATCATCGTTTGTAAATGAACTTTTCTATTAATGTTTTTGCATGCCAAGAAAATCTGCATTACCTATTTTTCCCAACATGAATGTATTAAAGAATAAGGATCTTATTTTTAAAAGGTGACAACCTTAGCTTGCAACCCATACTATTACTGTATTAGATTCAATGAAGGTCTAAACTCCTTATAATTACTGTTTTCTTAAGAGGAGGAGGAATTTTGGCACCATGTGTTCCACTGGCTTCTATTCTAAATTCCTTCACTTCACTCACCACCTAAAGGCTCAAATTCCAGAAAAGTCAGCATGTTCTTCTTTTAAAGTATCACTGAACAATTACAGAAGAAATAAAAAAAGAATCTAGTGGAATCTCACATAACTAAGGCATTGCAAACCTAAAACATTCTCTATATAAAGTGCTGTTCTTTGCCCCTTTCCAAGGTTAAATAATCCCTTTTTCCCAGACAACACTGTGTTTTATTTTAAGATGCCACAAGAGTCATTGTACTTTTATCAGATTGCTCAAACTAGGCCAGATTACATTTGGCTACTTTTATTGTGGGGTCTATATAAAGATAAACTCCAAAAAGAATTTATCTGATCATAAGAAAATGACAATTGTTAACTACTTGTTGTGGTGCTTGGGGTCAGGCCTCTGACTATTCACTACTATTTCTGAGTATAAGTGGTTGAAAACCTGGAAGCCGAGTTTTGTGGCACTTTCATTAGACAGACAGTTGAAAACTAGAGCATAACATTGAAACTGGAAAAAATGCAGAAGAGAAATGCAGAAAACTCTTTGAAGTCATGGAATAATTGATGGACATTGCAGTTTATAAAAACCAGATAAGAAAAAACCCATCTTCCCTCAAAACCACGTTTGAGGGGTGCCCCCTTTGCTGTCCCCAATTTTAAAGGAGGCCCTTTGTCGCTAATAGGTTGCCAATCCTTTAAGGATCCATGCATTAGTGTCTATTACATTTCTTTCAGCACCCATCCCATGCCTTTGTTTTTATTTCTGCCCATCCTCCCTAGAGACGCCTGGAACTTCCCAAAGGTTCAGACAGGGAACACACACGACCGGGGAAGAAGGTGTCCCCATCCCCTTTCTTCTTGGTTGGAATCCAGAAACCCAGTGATGCTGGCCTAAAATGCACAACCCAGTTTTGCTTTGCCTCAGCCTCCCCATTGCGGTCAATCCCCGACGCCTTGCCCAAGCTGGCGGGAGAGAAGTGCAGCCTGCTCGCTCCCTGGGTCACAATCGCAAAACTGGTGCCTGGGCAACAGGCAGGTCTGGGCGCAGGCAGGCAGGCAGGCAGCGGCATTTATTGCGTCTGCCACTTGCCAGCGGCTTGGTGACAGGACAGGCTCCCCGAGTCTCCCTTCCCAATTCTTCCCTGCACCAGAGCTATCGCTTTGCAGACGGAGAGCCAGGAAGAACTGAGCTGGACTAGCCCACCCGCATGCAGTTGCCGGAGCGCGACAAGAGCGCCCTCCTTCCCCCGATTAATGGGGCCGCCCCAGCGCCTCCCGCGTCCCTCCCCGGAGCACCGCCATGGAGACCCAGGTCTGCGCGAATGGCGCCGCCGCCGCCGCCTGCTGGTGAGAATTCCCCCTCTGACCGGTTCGGAGGGGGGGAAGAAACGGGGCCTGCGAAAATCCGAGCGCTGTTCCTTGGAGTGGGTCTGCGTCTCGGGGAGCTGGAAGGCGCGCTCTTAACCTCTCGAGGCGAGGAAACACTGGGAAGGCTGGAGGCGAGGGTCGGAATGGAAGGGGCCAAGCCTCCCCACCCTACCCCACAAAACCCCCCACAGTTTTTGTTTAAGTTCTGCCTGGGTATAGTCTTTTGTAGCAGTTAAGAGTACTTGGATTTTAAAACAACGACGACAAAACGAAATCCACAATATTCCAATATTCAGATATTTGCGGCCAGAAGGAGCCCTGGCCTGTCTCTCAGGGCAGCATTTCTCCAGCTTGACAATGTTAAGGTGGGTGGACCAACTCCCCAAATTCCCCAAATTCTGAAAGATGGTCCACCCATCTTAAAATTGTCAAGCTGGAGAAACGCTGTCCCAGTGAAAGCAAAATGATGCCACTCAACTGCTTGTTTCATGTTGTGTCACAATAAGGCTGAGATATTTGGGGTTATTATGTTGCTTCCATCAAGCTAATTGGGATTTCATTCAATAAATCATGATTAAACCAAGGCCCATAACAATTTGATGTGACACCTCTCAGTGTCTCAGTGGTTTTTGATTTGTGACCACAATTGGGCCCAAAATTTTCCTTGGTGAGCGAGATAGTTGTTAAGTGGATTTTGTCCCCTTTTATAACCTTTCTTGCCACCGTAGCTAAATTAGTAACATGGTTGTAAAGTGAATCTGGCTTTCCCATTGACTTTGCTTGTCAGAAGGTAGCAAAAGGGGATGACATGACCCCATGGCAACTCTCAAATACGAATCAGTTGCCAAGCACCCAAATTTTGATTGCATGACTGGGGGTGTTGCAACAGTCATAAATGTGAAAAACGATCATAAGTCACTTTTTTCAGTGTCGTAACTTTGAACAATCACTAAACAAATGGTTGTAAGTTGAGGACTACCTGTAGTGCAGGGGTGCCAAACTGGTGGCTTGCAGGCCAGATGTGTCACATGCTGGCCACCCCCACCCCCAGTTTAGTGAAGGGGAAAAAAGTTGTGATACATCACATGATGACAACGTGGCGTCGTGAGTTTGACACCCCTGCTGTACTGTAACAGGCAAGAACTAGTTTAATGTTGCACAGCTCTCCTGTGAAGCTCACCAGGTGACTTTGGGGCTATTGTTTCTCAGAGAAGCCTGATAGGGAATGCCTCTTTATATGCTCTTCTGAAAGGAAAGATGGAATAGATTCTTCAGTGATTTAAAACAGATATTTTAGGTGCTATTCAAAACAGCAAGAAAAAGCTGCATATTGCTTTCCACGATTGAAGAAGAGAAGAACCCCAGAAGTCTTTTAGCAGAAGATCCTTTTAAAAATAAAAAGCTTAGGAAATGGGCTTTTTGAGATCGGTACACTGGCTGTACAGTATGGACTACAGTTGAATACAATACAGTGGTTGTATTTATTGCATTACATCTTGAAGGAGCAGTATGTAGGTCTTCCTCAATTCCTCTTGTTGGAAATGACTATAAGTTTGGACAGCTCCTTCAGCAGTTGATAATTTGTGCATTTATGGGGTTTGTTTTTGTCTTCTTATAACTCAGGTTTACGAAGACAGAAAAAACTTTTTTGCTCTGTTGCACTGACTGGATTCATACATTGGACTAAGTTAATAGTGTGTAACATTTTCCAGAGATTTGTGCTTCAGAAACATGCTGAGTAGTGGGTGGGGCAAGAAAAAAAACCTAATTTCATTTAATTTTATTTAAGAATAAAGTAATATGATTGCTCCTCTATCATGTATTTAATAATTTTCTCTTTGTGTCACATGAACACTTACAATTTTATAAAAATTGTTAAGGGTCTTTGGGCACTATTTTCAAGACCTTGAGGATTCTGATGTAAACTCTATGAATTCAGATGGTGCATCTTTGTATAAAGTTAAAATGTGATTTGTTGCATCGAACTTAAATTATTGGGGAAATTCACCCAGGCATTGGGAGTATCCAAATCTTGTTCATGGCTTAGAATACAATTATATTCTAACCAAGTGTGGCTCCACAAACAATGGCATAGTGCAATATTTGAACCAAAATATATTTTCTCGCAGTGGAGTTGAGATAGTCAACTAAGAGGCTGGCATTTTAACAAGAATCTCTGGGCCCGAGTAATACTTACAGTGCAGCAAAAGATGCAGAATCTACATTTGCCTCGTGTTTGCCTTTGGCCTGAAGTGCCAGGTGAGTGCGGGCGAAGAGAATAAGCTAAACAGAACAAAAAGAGCTTATTCCGAATGGGGATCCTAAGAGTGTTCTGGAATTGGAGAGGTGACTAGTTTAAGGAAGTTTGGTCACTGCTATTCCACTGGAAGATCCCAGGCTCAAGAAGGAAAACTTAGCGGTCTGCCTGTTTTAGATTACTCTTACAAAAGCAACCATGATATGTGTGGCACTTTAAAGAGGAACATATTTATTGTTACCTCCTATGAGCCATTTTCATAGCTTTTTCCTACCCTCTCCCCGTCCATTTCTGGGCACAGTTAGGAGATATACAGTTAGGCATGAAAATCAGCTGGGTGACTTTAGGTCAATCATTCTCTCTCAGTCCATAATGTCAAGGCTCATTTCTGATGCAACCAATGGGTCAATACTCAGTTGATCCTCCCCCAAAAGTGGATCCTGCATTTGTGAAAAAATGCTACAAAGAAATATATATGGATGAATTAGTTTCTATCACCTTGATGAAGAGAAGAAAGCCTCTGTGATACTGTTACTTTAAAACAAGTCAGGTGTGAAGCCTGAACATTGTGTGGTAAAGGTTCTATAATTGCCAGTTGGCTATGAGAAACAGAAAAAGAAATGCAGGAAAGAGATTTTCTTCAATTTGTTAAATTGTAAGTATTTTCTTTTTTTCTTTAGAGATGATAGATAAGTTCTTACTGTTATAAGAAGTTGTTGAATTATTATTAATAGTATGATGAAAGTAAATAGTACCTTTGGGTGGGAGAGAAATGAACTGGATGAAAACGATAATATGGAGACAGATAGTGTATCTTTGTCTATCAGAGACCTAATCCAGATTCTCCACTCAATCTGCCATTTACTTTTATAAGTAATTCCCATCGATGCCAAGACTCTTTTGAAAGATATGTTGACTAACCATCATTTTGTTCATTCTTGGTTAGTAAGGCAAGAAACCGTAGGGAGTATGTAAAATGTCTAGCACTTAACACGTACTGTTTTTAGTAGGTAGACTAAAGTGGGATCCTTATGAATCGACAATGAAACATGATTTTGTCTTTAAATCTACAACAGATCCTGAAGCAGATTGGTAAGAATATACTAATTTAACTGAATTAAAGTTTTTAATCATATTTGGTTTATTGACTTCATTTGAAACATTCTCATTTTCTTTTATTAATCTGTTTTTAAAACTTTCATGGTTTGCTTTTCTAGTGGAATATGATGCATGTATGGAAAAGGAGACTAGCTTTAAAATTGGTTATGTTTTATATGTGCTGGAGACTATTTAGTTTAGATTGAGAATAATTTTGCTTTCTTCTATTTTATCTATATTTTCTCACCAAATTAGTGTGTAATTGCAATTTCCCTCCATCTTAAGCTTTTAAAGTAGGTTAAATTAATATTTTCAGAATCCAACTGATACATCCCTTATGTTTTTTTCAAGTGGATTTAAGCCACATCTCTGCTGAAGAAAAATAAGCCACATAAATTCCTATTCTGGAACTGGTTCTGAACAGTTTCAGATTGCCATGTTCATTTCTTGCCAAAGATTACCCTCTCACATCTGCTGTTTGTCATGATAAATATAGCTTATTTCAACCAAAAGTCCATATAAAATGTAATTCCCCCTCCCCCGCCCTGTAAATTCAGGGTGTTTTTTTTTTTCAAACCTTAAGCATATTTTCAATCAGAATTATTTTTATGGAATAGAAGCCCCTAGTTTAAGCATGTAAATTGCAGCATGGAGGGAATATCAAAAACTCATAATGCTCTTCTAGATCTTTATGAATCGGATATGATTGGAAATGAAGTCCTTACTCCTTAGTGTATATTTTGAATATATTTTGTTTAGGGTTGACAATTTTTTAGTCAGGAATGTTGATTCTGAGGCAGAAGCATCCTTAGTTTATGAATTTTTCCATGACACACATTTCCAGAGTCTGGACCATCTTATTTTCATGTAATATGCCACTGCAAATAGCATTAGCTAGATTTTTAACGTTCAGTCCCAAGAGCTTTTGATTACTGTGAATTGGTATTAAATATCTATAATATTTTCATATCATTTATTGAAAATACACTGCTCAAAAAAATAAAGGGAACACTTAAACAACACAATGTAACTTCAAGTTAATCACACTTCTTTGAAATCAAGCTGTCTGCTTAGGTAGCAACACTGATTGACAATCAATTTCACATGCTGTTGTGCAAATGGAATAGACAACAGGTGGAAAGCATAGGCAGTTAGCAAGACATCCCCAATAAAAGAGTGGTTCTGCAGGTGGTGACCAGAGACCACTTCTCAGTTTCTATGCTTTGTACCTGATGGTTTGGTCACTTTTGAATGCTGGCGGTACTTTCACTCTAGTGATAGCATGAGACGGAGTCTACAACCCACACAAGTGGCTCAGGTAGTGCAGCTCATCCAGGATGGCACATCAATGTGAGCTGTGGAAAGAAGGTTTGCTGTGTCTGTCAGCGTAGTGTCCAGAGCATGGAGGCGCTACCAGGAGACAGGCCAGTACATCAGGAGACGTGGAGGAGGCTGTAGGAGGGTAACAACCCAGCATCAGAACCGCTACCTCTGCCTTTGTGCAAGGAGGGACAGGAGGAGCACTGCCAGAGCCCTGCAAAATGACCTCCAGCGGGCCACAAATGTGCATGTGGCTGCTCAAACAGTCAGAAACAGACTCCATGAGGGTGGTATGAGGGCCCGACGTCCACAGGTGGGGGTTGTGCTTACAGCCCAACACCGTGCAGGATGTTTGGCATTTGCCAGAGAAGACCAAGATTCGCCACTGGCAAATTCGCCAGTGGCGCCCTGTGCTCTTCACAGATGAAAGCAGGTTCACACTGAGCATAAGTGACAGATGTGACAGAGTCTGGAGACGCCGTGGAAAACGTTCTGCTGCCTGCAACATCCTCCAGCATGACCGGTTTGGCAGTGGGTCAGTAATGGTGTGGGGTGGCATTTCTTTAGGGGGCTGCACAGCCCTCCATGTGCTCACCAGAGGTAGCCTGACTGCCATTAGGTACTGGGATGAGATCGTCAGACCCCTTGTGAGACTATATGCTGGTGTGGTTGGCCCTGGATTCCTCCTAATGCAAGACAATGCTAGACCTCATGTGGCTGGAGTGTGTCAGCAGTTCCTGCAAGATGAAGGCATTGATGCTATGGACTGGCCCGCCCGTTCCCCAGATCTGAATCCAATTGAGCACATCTGGGACATCACGTCTCGCTCCATCCACCAATGCCACATTGCACCACAGACTGTCCTGGAGTTGGGGGATGCTTTAGTCCAGGTGTGGGAGGAGATCCCTCAGGAGACCATCCGCTACCTCACCAGAAGCATGCCCAGGCATTGTAGGGAGGTCATACAGGCATGTGGAGGCCACACACACTACTGAGCCTCATTTTGACTTGTTTGAAGGACATTACATCAAAGTTGGATCAGCCTGTGGTGTTTTTTTCCACTTTAATTTTGAGTGTAACTCCAAATCCAAACCTCCATGGGTTGCTAAATTTGATTTCCATTGATATTTTTTGTGTGATTTTGTTGTCAGCACATTCAACTATGTAATGAACAAAGTATTTAATAAGAATATTTCATTCATTCAGATCTAGGATGTCTTATTTTTGTGTTCCCTTTATTTTTTTGAGCAGTGTATATACAGGTATAAGAAACATTGTAATATGTCATACAAACTTTCCAGTATATTCTCAGGTTTACCAATTTCCCAAGTGGTCAAAAGTTCAAAGTATGGGCTACCTGGATTTATTTCCTTTGGAAAAGAGAGTTATTTATATATATAAATACACCATAAATAAATCAAGTAGGGTAACCAGTCCTAAATTAGTTTTCTAGAAGATATATATTCCATGAAAATATGCTTTTATCCTTCAACTAATTCTCTGCCTGTTTGAAGATTCTGTTGCTATAATATATATCAAGTGTTATTGATAGAAAGACAGACAGAAGGCTATTTTATTGCCAACTTTTTGGTCTCATAGATCAGATGTCCTTGTATTCTAATGGCTATTCACACCCCAGGGAATACTGTTTTAGTAAATTATTACCCAGTGCAAACCATAGAATAAATCTATTACTGTACTGGCCATTCTCCTCTTTTAGGAAATTCACAAGTCAAAATCCATTGTTGTAAGCTTTTTCTATTAAAATTCTGTGTCAACAAAAGTACATTTTTTAAATTTCAGGGCTGGTTAGAAAAAATTAAAGTCATAGCTATATTTATATATAGATCACTAAATCAAGATTTTCTAATCTAGGGTTTGCTAAACAAGACCAGTTCAACACAATGCTGAGCTAGATGGAAACAGCCTGTATAGTGGCTTAGCATTATATACAATCCAAGTATTATGTATCCTTTGATTGCAGATCTTATGATTCATACATGATATGGATCTGCTATAGAAGAAAAAGAAAGAATGGTTCACCAATAGGCCTATCCTGCCAATCACTTGTTTGCCTAAAGAATTATCAAGAGACCTGTGAATGCGCCAGAGGTTCATTTAGTCTAGCACTCTGTTCCACCCAATTCCACCCTTTGCATTGTATAAATCATAGGTGTCAAACTCGCAGCGTCATGTTGCCATCATGTGACATTTTTTTCCTTTGCAAAGCTGGGATGGGTGTGGCCTGCGCATGACGCATCCGCCCCACAGGCCTCCAGTTTGACACCCCTGGCATAAATAGTTCCTTTTATCAGTCTTGAATATTATTGCATTTAGTTTCATGGGTCTGTCTATGTCCTAACAGCTCCTCTTTTTTATAGCATATAATTTTATAGGCTAAAGTCTCCTTACTTGCCTTTACCCCAAGTTAAAATGCCCCAGTTATTGTCATCCTTTCATAGTCTGTATTCAATAATTCCCACAGAATTTGATTCCAAGTTGATGTCATGATAGTTGTCATGGTATTATATTTCCTGGATCGTGGTCATCTGGTTTGCCAATATTTCATTCTTTAGTCCAGTTGCCCATGGCCAAACTGAGTGGGAAATCCCAGCATATCAGGAGAGGTAGGTTGGGGAATGCTAATAAGGACAATAACAAACTAGATAAATATATGGTATCATTCAATTCAAGCCAATTTCTTATGGGCCTATTTATTTAATAAGAGCTCGTATGATGTATAAATACACTTTATTGAAAAGAGACCTGTAGTAGAATTAGAGATAGCTGCAGGTTCAGGTAGTTCAGAGATAATTGGTGTGTGATTGCTTTGTCAATGCCATTGCCTTGTTTCTTGCAGTGCCAGAGCCGGGACAGGACATGTCATTCCCTTTCAAATAGATGAGCCAACTGCAAAAAGCATCTACAAAGATGAATTCTGCTGGAAGCCATATTCCAAGGCAGAGCCTATAACGAATGGCTTTGTGACAGTAAAGGACAGGAACAATCCTCAACCTGGAGAAGTAGGATTCAAGTTATTGTTATTTCAATAACATGTCTTTCTTATGCTTCATATTTTAACTTTTGATTATTTTGGATATATTATAATGGTTTTGAAATCATTGTTCAAAGATGATATCATGGGAAAGGAAAGGCTTAGTTATAAGAAATACTTAACAGAGTTGTGAAAAGCATATGAAATGCAAAGCGTCTTTCTTTGATGTGTTAAAACAGCTGGATCTGCTTATAGGACAGGCTTGTATGGTTCAAAGACTTTTTTGTTTTCTGCACTTAAATTTGCATCTACAGACAACATTTCCACTGAACTGAAAAGTGCCAGTAGAGTGAAGTGGCTGCATATACACATCCACCCACACCTAGAGATGTGAACAACGTGCAAAACAGTCATGTGAGGCTTGTGAGCTTTGTAAAGGATGCAGCTTCACTCTTGCTATTATCCTTTTGCATAGAATTTATTTCTATTGCCTGAATTTTATCTCCAAATTTATATGTATTTATTTATCACTGAGTTTTATGGTGTCTAATGATATTTCCATCAAGTATGAAGCCTTCAGTCCTGATGAGAATTACACTCAAGGCAAAAAAATTAAAAACCTTTCTCCATTCAAACTTTACTGATTTTTAACAATATATATATATATAGGCACAGAGCCAGCGAAGTGCTTAGCATCATTTATGGCAAATCTATTAACAACCATTCATTCAGCAACTACTTGAAGTTTTGATGATGCTGAACAAAGGGATTTATGACCACTCCCTGAAGGTGATGGCTATTGCAACATCCCTACAGTCATGTGATTGCAATCTGGATGCTTGGCAACCTATTTGCACCTACAGCTGATTGACAAGTACTCTGTGGTCACGTGGTTCCTATTTGCAACCTTCCCTGCTGGCTTCCCTTGAAAATGGGGAAGCTGATACGGAAGGTCATTGGGTTAAGCCTCCTTCCCCAGCCTTTCTTCATTTGCATCTACTGCATCCCCCTTCACTTACACACCCCCATGTCGTCTTTCCACAGCCTCCCTGTACTTGCATACACATATGCCTGCACTCT